GGAGAGTCTGGAAACCTAACGTCCACTTTCTGATTGGTGTAGCCATGCACATTTGCAGCAAATTTACTAGATGTTACATTTTAGATAAGTTTTGATCAATTGAAATTATGCACCTTTCATTATATTCGAGGTTATGCGTTTAATTATACGTACAGAGTAACAATGATGGGTTGTTGCGTGCAAATGTTTTAATAGTTCCAAAAAAGGATTTATTATGAAACGCTTTCCTAAAAATCCAACAAGAAAAGCATTATAGGCAACATGCGTTTCAAGGCTAAATTGGACACCGAGTGATAATGCATACATATGTGAAGTAAAAAATAACATATGTGTAATATGTTTTTAATAAAGAAAAATAAAAAATAAAAATATAATAAAAATTTTATGTTTATAGATACATTTTCCAGATAACATGTGGGAAACAACTCGTGTTAATGGTAAAAGAAAATTAAAATCTAACGTAATACCTACTCTTTTTCAAAATTATTTAGTAAAGACAGAATCATTAGTAGAGGTAAGACAAATAAAATATTTTTTAAAAATACATTTTATAAATAAAAGTAAAGTAGTTAATGTGACATTTCTTATTTTGTAGGAAAAAGATCCAAATTACAACAGAAATAAATATAAAGCTATAAATATTGTAGAAGATCTAAATGAAAATGAACATGAAGTTATGAATGTCTCAGATCTAAATGAAAATGAAAATAAACATGAAGTTATTATACGTTCAAAAAATGTCACTCCTACTGCGCTTTAATTTAAAAATAACTTAAAACTTATTTCAACCGCTCAATATATTAAGACAGTAGAGAAAAATAATTATGATGAAGATGACAGTGATATGATAACAGAATTTTTAAATAATTCGAATTCAACAAAAAAAAACAAAGTATTAGTGCTGATTGTAATAGGCCACTTTCCCCAATTTCATTAAATAGTAATATTGTACTTACTCAATGTACTGTATAATATAGCAAGATATATAATTGCAAATATTTAAAAAAATATGACTTCTTGTAATAACTGCATACTATCTGTTGGTTCACAAAACCTTCAAAATTTTAAATATAATAATTTAGTTTTACTTAAATGCTATAAAAAAGAAACGCTTTTTTTTTTTTTTTTTTGTTAAACCATATATATATTTTTTTTAAACATGGAAACTATTTTAGAAGTTATTTTCCTTTCGTGAAAAATAAAAATATAAATTTAAAACAATATTTTTAAAATAAATTTGCAATAATTAATTGCAATATTATAGATTGCCACAATTTAAGAAGCAAAATTATATCTAAATACATCATATTTAGACTGAAAATAGCAAATAAAAAAAGAACAATTAAAAAAAGATCTTATAACAGTGAAACGATGGCAATGCATTGTAATGTTAAATAAATAGAATTTTATTGTATTTAATACGCGATTTTTATTATTTCAAAATTTCCTAGAAAACAATGATATTAAGAATATTAAGAATATTAGATCGGCTCTTATTAATATATTTAATATAAAACACGATATACACTTCCTTCTTCTCGGCCATAGAGCCAAACGCGATGTTATTGCGAAATAAAGTAAGAAAATTGAGGAATCTGAGAATTTCGTATTCTGTGATTGGGATCTCAAAAACTTTCCTTGTATCTCTTTTTTAAATACTGTAAGAAATAGGCGAGAAAAATATTGGTCCGAAAGTTGGCTAAATCGGGAAACGAACCCGAGACCTTCCGCTTGCCGGGCGAATGCTCTTCCAACTGAGCTATTCAGACACTTACGAAACAATACTTTTCTCAATGCTTTTACCCCCCCCCTCCCCCAAAGCGTCGTACTTAGGCTCAGACGCGAATAAACAATGATAAGAATATTAAGAATATTAGACTTACTTTATTTGCAATAACATCGCGTTTGGCTCTATGGCCGAGAAGAAGAAGGTGTATGGTATATCGTGTTTCCTAGAAAAGTTACTAGTTTGCTGCATAATGGCGGATGTTTTCCGGACTCTCCCTTGAGGGTCTCTAGGACTCCCCAACGCTGAAACAATCAATCGCAAAGGATAATGTTCTTTGTGCACTTTCGGCAATCCATAACATCTCGGTAAGTTGCCATTATGACAAACTAAACGTTTATATGTCATCTCAATAATATCATTGTCCAACCAACCACGCACTAAAACATTCACATCATTTGTCAGGTTTTTTATTGGATTTTTATTAAATTTTTTATATGTAAGCGTGTCTGCAAGTAATTCCGTCATTTTCTTTATATAATAATCTTTATTCAAAACTACTGTTTGTTCCTTATCCACCTTCGTAATTAAAATATCTTGATTATTCTTAAGAAAACTAACACATTGTCACATCTATGCTGTGAAAATATCAAATTATTCAAAAAACTCAAATGGCTAGTATTAACCAAAAATTTTTTAATAGAGTTAACAAAAAAGTTTAACGTATAAGACGGGCAACAAGAGCCAAATCGCGGATGACAATGCGTTATCCTAACGAAACTAAATAATTTTTCGTTAGAATTAAATACCGGTGCACAAGGCACCAAATTTTTACTTGGACACGGCCAAGATTTTAAATATGAAATAATCTCATATTTTGAGATTTAATTTCAATACCCCTTTTAACCCCCCTACGGAAAATAAATAAATGAATGCAAGAGAAAAATATAGATCCGAAAATCGCTGAATCGGGAATCGAACCCGAGACCTTTCGCTTGCCGGGCGACTGCTCTTCCAGCTGAGCTATTCAGATCCTTTCGATTCTATACTTTTCTCTGTTATATATATTAATGTTGGTAAACAAACGCATTTTTTAAGCCAGCGTGTATCAATATAAGAGTTTTAACAAGGCTCTGTAATATAAATATAAATTTAACGTATAAGACGGGCAACAAGAGCCAAATCGCGGATGACAATGCGTTATCCTAACGAAACTAAATAATTTTTCGTTAGAATTAAATACCGGTGCACAAGGCACCAAATTTTTACTTGGACACGGCCAAGATTTTAAATATGAAATAGTCTCATATTTTGAGATTTAATTTCAATACCCCTTTTAACCCCCCTACGGAAAATAAATAAATGAATGCAAGATTTAATTCTAACGAAAAATTATTTAGTTTCGTTAGAATAACGCATTGTCATCCGCGATTTGGCTCTTGTTGCCCGTCTTATACGTTAAATTTATATTTATATTACAGAGCCTTGTTAAAACTCTTATATTGATACACGCTGGCTTAAAAAATGCGTTTGTTTACCAACATTAATATATATAACAGAGAAAAGTATAGAATCGAAAGGATCTGAATAGCTCAGCTGGAAGAGCAGTCGCCCGGCAAGCGAAAGGTCTCGGGTTCGATTCCCGATTCAGCGATTTTCGGATCTATATTTTTCTCTTGCATTCATTTATTTATTTTCCGTAGGGGGGTTAAAAGGGGTATTGAAATTAAATCTCAAAATATGAGATTATTTCATATTTAAAATCTTGGCCGTGTCCAAGTAAAAATTTGGTGCCTTGTGCACCGGTATTTAATTCTAACGAAAAATTATTTAGTTTTGTTAGGATAACGCATTGTCATCCGCGATTTGGCTCTTGTTGCCCGTCTTATACGTTAAATTTATATTTATATTACAGAGCCTTGTTAAAACTCTTATATTAACAAAAAAGTTCTTTGCAACATCTCTAAGATCCTCAGGAATTTTCTGAATATTAGTTTCGAAATTCTTCATGTGTTCCATTGTAATGTAAGAACGGTCATTCCTATTATTACAATTAAATCGAAGACTAAATTTATCGCTTAAACACAGTATGTTTTGTACCGCTTCCGGTAGAGTTTTGTCACTAATTGTAAGATGAACTAACCATCCACAGAAATACAAAGTTAATGCTATAATCAATTTGATAGACAGAGCTGTTTTGCTTTCTGATAGACAATTTCATGAAAATAACATATCCATGGTTAAGCAGATTTTATCTAATAATTGTTATCTGGTTGGTTTTGTTAATGCAATTATTAATAAAAGATTAAAATATTTGTATTTAAGGGGTGACGATCATATAAGGAATAATATAAAAAAATGTTTTGATTTTTCTAAATGTATAGTTCATATATTAATAGATTAAGTGAGGATGTTCGTCGTGTTTTAAACAACTATGGTATAGATGTTCTTTATACAGTAGTAAATAAACTTAATAAATTAATCAAGAAAGGGAAGGACCGACTTTTGCCAAATAAAAGAACGAATGTCGTGTATAAAATCACATGCAATGATTGTTCTTCATGTTATATAAAGTAAACCAAACGTCACTTAGAAACACGTATTAGGGAACATCAGAACGATGTTAAAAAACATGAAAGCAGTCATTCAGTTGTCAGCAAACATAGGGTTAGTCTTAATTGTTGAGGATTTCAGATGAAGAGAATCACACTGTTATGTAATCAACATGAATATTTATTTGAGATATGATAACCATACAAAATAAGTATTGCACGAGACACGACTTGACTAGATAAAGAACGTGCGTACAAAACTAAACGACAACGAGTATCTATCAAAAAGCAGTGCTGCAAACTTAAAGAAAATAAAATAACTGGATTAGTGCTAACTTAAAGCAATGAGCAGTAGCTATTCAAATGGTAACTTAGACAAGTAAAAAGAACAGATATACATATAAAGAAAGGAAAAATACATGGTTCATTATAAAAGTAATGCGCATTTTCTGAGACAAATATATTTATTGATCGTACCGGTATAAATGCTTAAAATTCTTCAAAATACTCTCCCCCAGCATCAATACACTTGCGGAGACGTATCTGCCATGCCTGGAAGGCACCCTGAAACTCCTCGACGGGAATGCCTTTTAGGAACGTTGTAACATGCTTTTGGATGTTTTCCACGAACTCCCAATGCTTTCCTTTCAGCTCTTTCTTCAGTCGGGGAAACAAAAAAAAGTCGCACGGAGCCAAGTCGGGACTGTAAGGAGGCTGGGGGATCACCGGGGTGTTGCTCCGGGCCAGGAAATTGGTAACGATGAAGGCCGTGTGGCTGGGGGGATGATGCGCATTTGCAGATCATCGGTCATTATCCCATGTACCGCAAATATGGACATGTTTAGGATGTCAGCGATTTGCTGGATGCTCAATTGACGATTGGAACGCAAAACTTTGCGCACACGTTTCACGTTTTCATCGCTTCTGGCCGTTGTTGGGCGTCCAGAACGGGGTTCGTCGGCGATCTCCTCCCGGCCCTCCTTGAACGTCTTGTGCCATCTCCCGGACTGTGACCTTGAAATGCAGTCGTCCTTGAAGGCCTCTTGAAGCATCTGGGATGTTTCGGTTGCATTCTTTCCAAGCCGCACACAAAATTTGATTGCGTATCGCTGTTCAAGCGAACGCTCCATCGCGCCGTGTTACAAAGTTGAAAAACACATTTCACGCGGAGGCGCGTCCTTCTACTCAGACTGCCCGAAACAAGTGGCAACTGGCAGGATTCTTAGAACAGACCCTCCACCACATTTCCCGACCCATTTTACTTCGCTGCGATGGATAGTCGCGTCACAAAAAAATCATGCGCATTACTTTTATAATGAACCATGTATTTAACAGCTTTACGAGTTTAACACTCGTCCTTAAGCTTAAATATTTTTGAAACAATATGTATGATAGTCCATGATTAGAGTGCAATTATGCCCAACTTGTCCCTTAACCGTTGAAACTGCACGCGTGGAATTGGTTCAGTTAAAATATCAGCGACTTGATTTTCGCTGGGAACGTGTTCAATTTTTAATTCTCCGTTTTGAATTTGTTCACGCACAAAGTGAGTGCGTACGTCAATATATTTGGATCGCTTATGAAAGCTTGGATTTTTAGCAAGCTTTATGGCGCTCGAGTTGTTCACCAGAAGTAGAGGTACAGCTTTCAATGGTGCAATTTCCTGAAACAGACAATTTAACCACACGGCATCCTTTGCCGCTTTGCTAGCCGCCACATACTCCGTTTCCGTAGTTGACAAGGAAACGCATTGTTGCCGTTTACTCGCCCAGACGATGGCTCCTCCGCTGAATTTGAAGACTATGCCACTGACTGAACGTCGGGTAGCCTGGTCGCTTGCATAATCTGCATCGCTGTAGGATTCCAACTCTTCGATGTTATTCGCAACATCATATTTAATGTCCATTGTAGTTGAGCCCTTGAGATATTTTAAAATCCGCTTTACCATCGACCAATGTCGATTTTCAGATTTTTCTAGGAATTGAGATACATAACTCACCGCAAAAGCGATGTCATGTGTAGCTACTGCCAGATGCATTAAGCATTCCACAGCCTCTCGATATGGAACATTCGTTGTATTGGCATTTTCTTTTTCTCTTGTCATTTGGCACTTTTCGATTGGAGTTGAGACTGAGTTTGCTTGCTCCATGTTGAATCGCCGAAGAATATCCTCGGTATAGCTCTTCTGGCTGATAACTATTGATCTGTCGTCGCGACAATCAATTAGTATGTTTAGAAAACATCCAATCGGTTCGGTTGTTATTTTGAATTCTTCTTTTAATCTGCTTAAGAATTCTTCAATGCTGATTTTTTTTGTTGCTGCAACTAGTCCGTCATCGACATACAATGCTACGATCAACTTGTCTTTTTCAGTAATACGATAAAACAGGCACGGATTCGCTGTACTTTCTTGCAATCCGAAGGCGATTAAGACATCTTTAAAGCGTTTATTCCAAACCCTTGGGGATTGTTTTAGTCCATATAGACTTTTTTGCAATTTGCATACACGCTGGCTATTATCTTCATAACTTTGGGATGCTTCCTCAATTATGCCGTTTAAGAAGGCCGTTTTGACATCAAATTGAGCTAGCTGTAATTTTTCGTTTGCCGCAATACTGAGTACCGTCCAAATCGTGTCCAATCTTGCAACAGGGCTGAATATCTCGTTATAATCAACTCCTTGTTGACTAAATCCTCGAACAACCAGACGTGTCTTGTATCGAGTAATTTCACCGTTAGCATTACGTTTTAGTCAATAAATCCAACGGTTTGATATGGCCTTACGCCCTGCTGGTAACTTTACTAAATCCCATGTAGAGTTTTTTTCAAGTCATCTCCTTTTCCATTGCTGTACTCCAGTGTGCTTTTTTCGCTGACATTATTGCCTCGGTATAGTTTTTCGGTTCGTTTACTTCAGCGACCATCAATTCAATCAGACGCTTTGGTGCTTTTAGATTTTCTCTATCTTGCAGTTGTCTTCCGGTTGTAGATAATGAAGTTTCTGACACTTGTAATGTATCAATTTTTGATTCTTCTTTTGAATCAGCACGACGTTCCGATACTGAGACAGTCGATTGATTACCTGTATCAGATACATCATTCCGTTTCTGAATTGGTGGTTCATTTGTTTCATTATTTGTTTCAACAGGAAATAGAGTCAACAATCTTCCAACGTCTTTTTTTCCAAACTCGACGTCTTTACTTCGAATTACAAGATTTTCTGATTTGTGCCAGACGCGGAAATCGTCCATGTTATCCGAATATCCGACAAACACACCGCGTTTTCCTTTTATGTTCCATTTCTTGCGTTTTTCTTTTGGTACATGCACATAACATTTAGTGCCAAAGACATGAAATTTTTCCAAATGTGCACTTTTTCCAGTAAACAGCTGAACAGGGGTTTTTCCATCAACGCCACTTGGTCCGGCATGATTTAAGATATAAACTGCAGCATTTATCGCTTCAGTCCACAGGATTTAGGTAGATTCTTCGCTAAAAGCATTGTCCGAGCAATATCCACCACGATTCTGTTGGTTCGTTCGACGCAGCCATTTTGTTGTGGTGTGTACGGATTTGTGATTGCTAAGTTACTCCATTTGACGTCATGAGTTTTCGCATTTCACTGTTGTCAAACTCTATACCGCCGTTGCATTGAAAGGTCTTCACCGGTCGTCCTCGTTGATTCTTCACTATTTGCAGCATTTCAGCAACCTTTTTCGCAGCCTCTGATTTCTCTTTTAGAAAATAAACCATGCGTATTCTTAAAAAGTCGCATGTAAAACACAAGAAATACCTTGATTTTCTTAGTGACGTACACTCCATCGGGCCACATAAGTCTGCATGCATAATTTCACCGGGTTCAGTCGCACGCTGATGTCGTTCAATAAAGCTGCTACGATGTTGATTCCCTTCCATGCAGGCTCTGCAGAATTGATCATCTTCTATGAAGTCGATTCCACGTTCCTCGAGTAGTTTCTTCACATGGCGTTTATTTTGATGACCTAGTTTCTCATGCCAAGTGTGCAAAGTGTCACGTGATACAATATTTACTTCTGCAATATTCACTTACGCATGACGTTTCCGGTTTCTTTACTCGAATTACCATTTTAAATAGCTGACCTGCTCGAACACCACGTGCCTTGACAACACCGTTCTTTATGAATTCACATCTATTCTTGGATGAATTAAATGACATTCTTTTGTCTAACGCTGACGTGACTGATAGCAAATTCCTGCGTGTTGGTATATACAAGATGTTTTCCATGTTATATGATATCCATTTTCCATCAACGAGGGCTTCAAATTTAATTACTCCTTTACCAAGTGCATCCATTGTTGACTGGTCACCAATGTATATTTTAACAGCAGTCGTGAATTGTTCAAATGATGAAAACCATTTACCGTGATGTGTTACATGATCCGTTGCACCTGTATCAGCAATCTATAAGTCGTCATTTTCTGCGTTGAAAGTTTCACAGATGAATGCCTCGTCCTTTGATCCATCTTTTGATGTACCTACACTGCTTTGTTTTTCCTTCTTGCAATTACGACGAATATGACCAAGGCCGCCACATTGATAACATCTGAAACTCGGTGGCTTTTCTTTGTTACTTCCACTTGTTGATTCCGTTGATTTCTTTGATCGATTAGTTTTATTATTACTGGTGTGACTGCAATCTTTCTTACCTTGAGGTTTTACTTTACTTGCTACTAGGGCCACTAATTCTTTTTGTTTTTCTGCTCGTTGATGTCGACGCTTTTCTTCAGAAGTTAACACTCCACCAAGTTAGTGACTGTTTGTTGATTTTCAGCTCTTGCCCACCAGGCCTGTCTAAGGCTTTCATAGTCATCAGGTAGCGAGTCCAATAATTTAACCATAAGCTATGACTCATCTGGCTTCACATTCATTTGCTGCATGCGTAGAACTGAACCTTCAAATTTAGCAATGTGCGTTACTATATCATCAGCTGGATTTTTATTAAAGCTAAAAAATTCTGCTTGAACAGTGTGTATAGCTTGTTTAGTCTGTTGTTCAAATATTGAATGCAATTTGAGCCACATCTCTCTTGCTGACTTACACGTTACTAGTAAAGCCATTACCTTGGACTCCAGAGTCTTAACAATGATTTCACTAGCTGCTCGATCTGCCTTGTCCCATGCTTTTAGATGTACCTGATGTGCAGCTTGATCACCTTCTGCAGTCTCCGGAGTCGGTCTCTTAATTTCATCGTTGCAGACTTCGTACGCTCCTTCGGTTCCACGCAGTAAATTCTTTACCGCAAACTTCTAAATATTCCAGTTCTCAGCGCCTCGTAGTTTTTAAATTCCGTGGAATTCCATATTTTATGTCGCGACAGTATTTGTACAAGAAAACAAATAATAATTGCTACGTACTTCCAATTCCACGCGTTACGACTCACGCTCTCAAAGAAGTTAGGCTCTCAAGGAAACCGGCAAGGCAAACCACGTGTCAATGTTACAGTTTTAGGAACCACGTTCTGCTACCATGTTGAGGATTTCAGGTGCAGAGAATCACACTGTTATATAATCAACATGAATATTTATTTGATATTTATAGATATGATAAACATACAAAATAAGTATTGCACGAGACACGACTCGACTAGACAAAGAACGTGCGTACGAAACTAAACGACAACGAGTATCTATCAAAAAGCAGTGTTGCAAACTTAAAGAAAATTAAATAACTGGATTAGTGCTAACTTAAAGCAATGAGCAGTAGCTATTTAAATGGTAACTTAACAACTAAAAAGAACAGATATACATATAAAAAAAGGAAAAATATTTGACAGCTTTACTTTAACATTAATCATGATTTTTGTTGGACATTGGTATCGATATTACATAGTGAGTGTAATGTTAAAAAGAGGGAGATTATAAAAATGATTTATATTAAGAAACATATAGACTTTATAAATTTACAAAAAGATACTGACAATTTGAATGTTATTTATGACACTATTATCAACGTTCTATAAGATCCTTGAATATGTTTCTGTATTTATATTTTGACTTATATTATTATAACTCC